TTAAAACCGCATCTCTGTCTGAAGAAGTACGAACTTTAAATTGTGTTTTATAAGAAAGAATATAAATAATCGATTGTATAAAATTAACTCATCTTGAGTCTGAATTTACTTCGCTGACATTATTTTAAATTAACTTGCATAATGACTTTCTTTTTTTCAAATTTCGTCGGTATATTTCAAAATATGATCGTTAGGATCTTAGCTGTAAGATATACTTTCTGTTTCTTGGAAATGTCATTTTAAAAAAAGTTTTAAATAAATGAATTTAAGAGAGACATGACGTAGAAAATACGTTCAGCATAGACATTGTCATATGCCCTCAAGCTGATCTGACTCAAACAAGATACATTTTTCAAACAAATATGACACAATATGTGATCATTTGAAGTCATTTATTTTAAGATATATATTTAACAGTACAATGAACAGTGGAACGCTAGCATAGTTATAAAGACAAATACGTCATTAACTCTATATTAAGTTATAAATATATAATACAATAGAAAGATGGAAGACAATTAGCCTGAAATATAGGTAAGGGGCGAGAGAAGTCATAGTAATGACACAAATTAAGCTATAATGATTTTTTTCACAATAAAACGCAATATTTTAGTTAATTAACAAGTAAGACATTAGATAAGCTTAATAGATTTTCCTTCAATCTACTGGATAGCCAAATCACATTTATAAATGTCTTAACAAGAACGTTGTATTGCTGGGTCTGCCAAAATGCGCCATGAAACATCTTTCCAAATTATTATCACCTATTTTATCAGCAATTAAATCGGGCTTCAGAGTAACTGTTAAACTATCTACTCTAGGGAAGTGAATCAGATTTGGATATAAAAAAAATCACTTGAGAACTTACAGTCAAATTCCGTTTCCTCATGAAGTAGTATAAAAAATACTTTTGACTTCTCTACTTTTTCATTAGTGTTTCTCACCTCTGGAGCACCTGCGTTTATTATCAGTTTTTTATGGGTTTCATGGTGTTCAGTTTTTTTTTTCTCTATGTAGTATTTTGTTTGTATTTTGCATTCTTACATTCTTAACTATGTCGTTGTCCGTTTCCCTTCGTAAAATGCGATTTGAATGTCCCCTTGGTATACCCCGCCTCTTGTTTGAATTCTGATTGAAAGAACTAGTCTAACTTAGTTTCATAACCAGAAAGGCCAACAGAGATACAAATATTTTTTTATTTAAAAAAGAGACAAAACATTCTTTGTAAAATACCACCCTATTTCGAGTAAAAAGTAAACTGCAAAAAAAAAATTATGGATTATTTTTATTGACATTTTTTTTGTTACGTTTTGATAATTTGTTTTAGACACAAAATTGACATTTCTATGTGAACACGCTGTGCCTCTTTTCTTACAGACTTGTTCATTCTTTTTAATGAGGTAGACGTCACACAGTAGCTTCTCAAGAAAAACGAAAATAAGTTGGAATTATCCATTATTCTTAAACTTCATTTTCCGCTATATAGATAATGTCCTTCCATTGAATAATTCGAAGTTTGGTAAATCGTTTGGCTGCATCTCTTAAATTAACATGAAATAAACGATACTAACAATACAGTTAAGTTCTGCCTCTTATCGTGAATTACATCTAGAAATTGAGAAAGTGGGTCGGTTTTGAACTAAACCTTGCAACAAGAGAGATGACTCCAATTTTCTAATTGTGAACTTTCTATTTATATTTAGTTACATTCATCAGAAACTGCATATGGAGTAAATAACTCCCAGTTGATACAAGCAGATCATAGTAGGGATTGCCGTCTACACTGAAGCAATTCAACCAAGGGTTTCAAGTGGTAAAAAAGTATTAACAAAAGTACTTGGAGGTAAATTCTATGTCCATAAAACCTAACAAAAACAAACGCTAGACTATATCGACCAAAGGATCGGATGGAAAACAACTGCCATATTCCTGACTTGGTACAGGCATTTTCCGCAGTAAAATGGGTGTTAACCTGGTTTTGCAGCTAGCTAAATTCCCACTTGTATGACAGTTGTTAAAATCAAATATTTATATCAAAACTTAAAGTTTAAGTCATCCCTTCGACAGTTTTATGGGCACCATTATGATTTGGTTGACCGCTTGAGAACTTGGTCAATAATGACAACGGGTTGTTCCACTTGTATAAACGCTAATCTCGATCTCTTATCCTTAATTGTGACATTATCGAATGCGAATTATCACTAGATTTGTACTTGCATGTTCAACACGACGGATGTCACGTGTTGAACAAGTCTTCTCTACCGGAGCTCCTGAGTTGACCCCTTGTTTTAAACGGAGTTCATGTTGCTTGGTCATTTAATTTCGTGTAATGTGTTGTATTTGTTTGTCCTTTCGTCCTTTTTATTTTTTTATCATTGTGTTGTTTGTTTTTATTTTTTGAACATTGTTTTGTTTGTTTTTATTTTTTGACCATTGTGTTGTTTGTTTTTATTTTTTGACCATTGTGTTGTTTGTTTTTATTTTTTGACCATTGTGTTGTTTGTTTTTATTTTTTGACCATTGTGTTGTTTGTTTTTATTTTTTGACCATTGTGTTGTTTGTTTTTATTTTTTGACCATTGTTTTGTTTGTTTTTATTTTTTGAACATTGTGTTGTTTGTTTTTATTTTTTGACCATTGTGTTGTTTGTTTTAATTTTTTGACCATTGTGTTGTTTGTTTTTATTTTTTGACCATTGTGTTGTTTGTTTTTATTTTTTGACCATTGTGTTGTTTGTTTTTATTGGAGTTGTGATTTTGAAATGCCCTTGGTATCTTCTCTCTCTTCTTCAAATTATTTATAAAATGCCTAGCAAATATTCTACTCTCAAAATGACGGATTTTACTTGAAAGCGTTGACAACGAAGCATGAAATTCAACATAAAATATTTATAACCAAACTTAATATTTTAAACCAAGTATATTTCTACTGTAAATTTTGAAGTGATATCAACCACTCAAAGAAATAAAACATAAGAAAGACGTAAACAAAACATTACCACAAAAAAATAAGAATTATCAGGATAAAAGAAATGTCGCTCCGTTTCTCATAACGTTTGGTTAGGAGGTTTTCATAAGAGATTGTATTACCAAGGTGTAAAAAGGACAATGGTCACTATAAACGCTTGTTTAGTAAGCGCGGGAGTAAAAAGCACAATGGTCACTATTAACGTGTGTTTAGGTAAGCTTGGGAGTAAAACGGACAATGGTCACTATAAACGCTTGTTTAAGTAAGCACGGGAGTAAAAATGACAATGTACACTATTAACACTTGTTTAAGTAAGCGCGGGAGTAAAAAGGACAATGTACACTATTAACGCTTGCTTAAAAAGAGGGGCGAAAGATACCAAAGGGACATTCAAACTCATAAGTCGAATATAAACTGACAACACCATGGCCAAAAAAGAAAATGACAAACAAACAAACAATAGTACACAAAACACAACATAGAAAACCAAAGACTGAGCAACACGAACCCCACCAAAAAGTGGGGGAGATCTCAGGTGCTCCGGAAGGGTAAGCAGAACCTGTAAGTAAGCGCGGGTTGTCTGATTATGAGCATGTATTATTGACAATAAACTGTGATAAGGGAGGCACAGTTAGTTCCACTTTGAATACCATTAGTAAAATCTCAAAAAAGAAAACAAATATCATCAAGCAGGAAACAAATGTATTTAATCATTTCTTTGCATGTCCAAATATTGTAGGTTTTATGATTGAAAAAGGAATTGTGACGACTACAACACTCAAAATAATGGGAAGACTATTTTTCCATAAAGAAATTAATGGATTCAATGTTAAACAATTGATATCTACTCGCCGTTTTGTAGGTAAAAGATATAATTTGCAATTCAATACTTTCACAATCTCGAGGCAGTACGTTTTGAACATTACGATCATTGCATATATTAGGTAAATCAATACAAAAAGTTTCCCTGTACAGATATTGTAGTTTAAACAATGGATTTTTTTTACTATCTGAAAAGATAATGTATGACTGTACTAATTAAATTAAACCTAGTTTGCAAAATATATTATGCTTCCGTTCCTTTTCAAGATTTTTCTGAAGAAGGATGATGATGTCTCCGTATATAATGATCGAAACGTTATTCATATGAACTTCGGTGTCTTTTTTTCAGGTTCATACTATATGTGTCTTTTTCGTTTTGTCTTAATAGAACTCACCAGTAACGCTCGAATTAATATAGTTGCAAAGACAAATCAAATATTACGTAGTTGAAAAGCATTACTAACCACAATTTCCGGAAAATCATGCCAAATTTGACAATGGTAATTGATAGTTGCGGACAGAAAAAGACTTAATCGTCAATATATAGTTAATACATGTATTGTTTGAAAACTACCAAATCTGTAAATCTAGAAAGTATCATGCCACACTTGTGGTCAAAAAGGTCAATCTTTTCAAAATTCGGATTTTAAATCTCCGAAAATAAAAGAGAAACCAATTCAGAGGAGTGCCTCCATTTATTAATTGAAAATGAAACCGGATCCTCGCAGTGTAGCAGACAAAATCTACATTTTAACAGTAATTTCCTATAAACGGAAACTAACAATGTAGTAATTGTACAACGTTCTAGCGTTAGTTACCCTAGTTTGTCCTGTTTCAATTTATGATTGTATAATATTAAGTTTATTAATTCATTCTGCTATTACGTATTTTCTCTTTGAATTTATTTGTTTTAACATTATATTTTTATTTGTCACAAAGAATTTTAGTTCATTCTAAATAAGCAATGAAAAATGTTAAGAATCAAAGTAAACATTATGTTTGAAAACCCCATCCCTCCACAAAAAAGAAAAGAAAATGATGTTTTTCTCATAACTAAAACAAGAAATAAAAAACAAGAACAAAAGCGCAATTTTAAGTTGAAGTTTTCGTAAGTACATACCAAACAATATCTTTCATTAGTTTGTAAATAAAAAAAAGTAATAAAATTATTTTAATGTAATAAAAACAAGAAACAGAATTAACTATTCCTACCTTAAGTCCTTGAAGAATTTTCTTCCTACTGTTGGACTGTTCTTTTTGTTTTGTGGCAGTTTATGACTAAATTTTCCTTTATATCTTCACCTTTGTGACCAATGAATGATTTTTAACCTTATACTATCGGTAAAATTATCAGTTAACGATTCCTTTTGGATTTGTCTAATGACGTTATTAATGCCATTATAAACGCAGAAAATTACAATAAATAGATTACACAAATCAAAACAGACAATGGTCCCAAGTGTAAAGTATATGACAAAACGTGACAATTGTTCATTTTGTGATGGTGAGGTACTTAACATCACTAGGATTTCTATCCAAAAGAGGAAACATCAGAAAAGACGTCTGTCTGTTGGAAATTATGCAACTTAGATAAAAATTTAATGTACATTATGGTAATCAAAACTTTACTGTTTGTTTGATAAAAATAAGACGAAGAAAGAATGAGATAGGCGACTAAATAGCATGACAATACGGATATTGTGTTATTAAAATTTGTTGTTACACATTTTTGCACAGTTATTCTAAATCAAGGAGTATATCTCCCCTATGCAAAGCTCCTTGTCAGGCTTTGGCTATACTTTTTGTCCTTTTGGTTTATGAGCTCTTTATTTTTAAATAAGTTTTGAATGCGCAATTTGGTGCTTTAAATTTGGTACCGTTTAAAGTATGCTACCACTGGGCCGATATTTTTGCTGGTGGACTGTTTGTCGTCGAGGGTATCACCAGCCCAGTAGTCAGTACTTTGTAAATGGCATGAAAATACGGATTTTGTTTAATTCAAATTTGCTATCAAGATTTTAGAAATTATTTTAGATTAAGGAGAATATAACACCTGGTGCAGTAACATTTGTATCGTTAATCTTATTAGAATTACAAAAAACATAAAACTATACACGATAGTATTAAATTTATTCTCAAAAAACAACTTTTCGTCACCCCCTTCAAATAAACCACACACCCTTAAAAAACCAAACAATAAAAAAACCAAAACAGTAAACAAAACAAACCACTGTAATTTTACAATTATAAAAGCTCATCCCAAACAGAAATGTGTTCTATAATTGCCCACTGACAAAACGACACCGATACTGTTTTGATTCATTACAACCTTTCTGAAAGCTAATGTATTCTTTTAAATAAATTGGCGGCTCGATGAATAAAAAGGAATAAACAAACCATATTCAAGGTACCTGAGTATTCAGTCGACTTACACCGTAAGTGTAGCGTTGATTTACTATGACTGGGTTGCAACCACTGTAGTTTGATGAAAAGTAACCAAGGAAACCACCGTTAGTAGTGTAATTTAGTCAATAGTAGTTTACCGATATTCAAATCTCATAACTCGATACAGTAGATGCACTTCAAGGATAACACAAAAAACTGAATTGATCGCATGAACTCTCAAGGGAGTGCACGTGAGACCGGATGAGTCGATATGGCAAGCGTCCCATGCCATGCATGCATTATAGGCCATGTGAATCCACACTCCAATGCTTAAATACGAAAAAGTACAGTTTAAAGTAATTTGGTTCAATTGTAATTATTTGCAATGTCGTAATGAATAGAATTAAGTATCATTCTCAATTTTATCTGATTCGAAGTTCTCCATTATATGATAGAGAAACTTTGAAAGGTTAATCATTTTGACAGCTTGATTAGCAGATCGTTGGTTAGATTATTCGAAGGACGTGTGTTATTACTACATATGCCCTTGGCCTTTCTTCACAGTCGAATAAATAAATGCAAATCAAACCGGATGAAAGCAACCAAATTATACAATAAATATTGCTGTTTAGGAAATTTAAATGGGAGGCGAAAGATACCAACGGGACATTTAAACTCATAAGTCGAAAATAAACTGACAACGCCATGGCTTAAAAAGAAAAAGACAATTAAACAACAGTACACAAATCACAACACAGAACACTAAAGACTGAGCAACACGAATTAAATATATTATGCACAGGAAAAGTGAATTCCAGGTATTCGCTAAATTGTCTGAAACCAGACTAGCAATATTAATTTGATAAAAAACACACCATACATATTCGAACAAAAACAGAAGCATTACAAAAAATAAAACAAAACAAAAATGATGAATATATAGATGTAAAGACTCCTATCTCCCTCGAAAAAATAAATTGATTTTTAGTACGGTCGGCAATGCATGGAGGAGAACAGGTAAATCTGTCGGGAGACGAATTTCTAATTTTTTTTTTCAAAACTTGTTTTCGAATCCCATATTTGACTGCTATGTAAAACTGTACTGTTCCGTTGTTATAATGTTCAATAATATATACTGTTGAAACTAACAGGTACACTGAAAATGATTGTAAAATTTAATCAATAGTAGTTCACCGATGTTCAAACTAATATATCAATTAAGAAGACACTTATCAAGGTAACAAAAACAAAATAAGGAAAGAGCATGAACTAAAAAAGAGTGATACATGTTGCGATGACAGGATACGGGTCTTATGCTTTGTATGAATCACACGCTTTCCGAATCCACACTCAGTCAAAATTTCATAATCGGGAATATCAAACATTCAGATAAATTAAACATCAGACCATTTACTGGTATCTTCAGATCTAAGATCAAAAACATTTGTCGCCATTGAAATTTATAAAATGTTGTTTGCATTGTTTAGTGAGTTTAGATATAGACACATAGTATCGGCTAACTAATTCGTGATGGAGACCGTAAAAAAAATGAAGTATCGATTTCAGTCATTCTTCCTCATAACTCTGCTGGAACAGTTGTAGTGTAAGATGAACATCCGTGTTGATGAAGTCCGTATAGTGGGAACGAGCGTAACGTATAAAAATGAGATTAACAGAGGTTATTTTACTGCCGAGAAATAGGAAGTTGACGACTGGAAAGTAGAAATCGTCACGTTTGTCATATGTTCTATTTTGGCGGTAATGGTATCTATTTCTTCGATTCCTCTGCCTATATAGCAAAATTGGATAAGCATAACGGTACATTTTCACATATATTTTTAAAGTTTCGGGGTTCGAAGTGAGATTCATTTCCCGAGTAATTTGTCATACCCTGAAAAGCCTATGTTATGTGCGTTTTCGAGGTAATATATATTCATCTAGTGTTATCTTTTTGGGGACTTTCACATGTGTAAGGCAACGTCCCTGATATCACTATATTCATTAATTCTGAATACAATGTGAAAGTATAATTGATTTCTTCCAGTCTATCTTCACATGTCACAATATGGCTTAAACGTCTGATGATAACTTTCTATCTCAATATTATACCCCGTTAATGCATTTAATTAAATTTGTTTTATGCCTAAAAGTGCTTTTGAAATGAGATGTTATGCAAACCATCAAAAATCATCTAAATAATTGTTGTGAACATTACCGGTATCAGGTGATTAAAAGCGCAAGGTAGTGCCAATTTTGAAATTATGTGCTTACACATAAATCTTCATAAAAATTTAGTTTTCCGCGTTTTTTAGTGTTAAACCTTTAATACTGAGAAATGCACAATTGGTTATGAATCTTAAAGCCATTAATTAACGACTGCTTATAAAATACCGATACACATAGTTTACCGTGTAACATAACAGTTGTCGAAGGGTGAAATTAAATATGCCGAGTCGAAAAGACCTGTAATAAAGCATTTTTAAATGATATCAAGTCCTTAGAACAGATTTTATATCGACAAATTTAAAAAGTCAAGTGCATTATTACTAGTAATATACAATAAATAGCATGCTTGATGAGATAAAATGCTTACCAGTAACTCTGAACTTTAAAAGCCACTTCTCTGCCATCTCAGCTTAAACTTGAAGGATATGTCTCCAACTGCAATTAGATAAAAAAAAAAAAAAAAAAGAGAAATAAATTACTGTGGTTGTGTTCATATTTTATTCATAAATAAAATATAAATCATATTCTTGAAAGTATTACGAGTATTATTTGTTGAAAGCAAATATTACGTTTATATTCAAGACAAGACATGATGATACCAGAGCCCAAATCCCCACCCCACGTTCATAATTAGTTATACATTTTGTATTCAATATGGCAACTCTAAGATTTCAAAATAAAATGCTCCTCAGTTGAAACCCTTTCAATTTATGCGCGGCAAATTTACATGTGATGTAATTTGTGTATTTGGAATAACATGATTTACGCTTCAGTGTGATATTAACTTGCATTTAATTTCCCGCTCCTGTCGCCATTTGTATTGTGATTATCATATACTTTATTCTTTATGTAGTTTGACATAAATTGTGTAGATGACCCGAAAATGTTTAAATATTTTCGTACACAAGAAAAAAGGGACCTAAAAGAAATACGAAGACACTAATTGCTTACATAAATAGAGGGATAAATACTGAAAGAAGAAACCAACATGTCAGGGTCAAATTGATAATTAGAATAAAGACAAGCATATTTGAAATAATAACGGTAATTTCATCATATATGTTCCAGCTGATGAAGGTTAATGCTGAAGGTCCAACCGGTTGACGGTTATTGATAAAAAGGTTTTCATAATAATACATTTAGAACCGTTAACGTTATTTTTGCATTACGATTGAAACCTTGACTGTTGTATTTTTTTTTATAGAGGTAGACATATTAAGGCAAAACTAGTTATAAAACTAGTTCAAACCACAAAATCGATTAGAACATATAACTCTTTTAACAGTTGGTTAGATGTACATGCGTTTGCAAAACATTTTTCACAGTTGGTTCGATGTGCTTGCGTTTGCAAAACATTTTTAACAGTTTTTTCGATGTGCTTGCATTTGCAACATATTTTTAAAAGTTGGTTCGATGTGCTTGCGTTCGCAAAAAATTCTTAGATTTGAATGGACGTAAAAAAGAGGCGAAAGATACCAGAAAAAAAAACTGACAACGCCATGGCTAAAAAAGAAAAAGACCAACAGACAAACAATGGTACAAAAACACAACATAGAAAACTAAAGACTAAAGGGCAACACGAACCCCTCCTAAAACTGGGGGTGATTTAAGGTGCTCCGGAAGGGTAAGCAGAACCCGTTGTGTTGCTCATGTTAGTACAAACCCGGTAATAAGTCTAATTCGG